ACAGTGTGACACAGCACAGCACAGCGACAGTGTGACACAGCACAGCACAGCGACAGTGTGACACAGCACAGCAACAGTGTAGCACAGCACAGAGAAGTGTGACACAGCACAGAGAAGTGTGACACAGCACAGAGAAGTGTAACACAGCACGTAGACAGTGTAACACAGCACAGCAGAATGACAGTGTAACACAGCCCAGAGACCTTTTATGTGAATAGCAACAGGTGCAATGATATTACTGTGTTGTCGAAGTACTGCTCTGCTAATCTGGAACTATTGACTATTATTTCAAACCATTTAACTCTCCTAGAGAGTTCTCTTCCATAATTCTGGTTGGTGTATACATCCCCTCTCAGGCAAATGCTTTGGATGTACAGCAGCTGTTGCCTGGTCAAATCGCAAAACTGGAAAACAACCATCCCAACTCTCCCATTATTATATTGGGTGATTTTAACCATATTAACTTGACCAAGGAGCCACGAAAATATAAACAGTTGATTACCTGTCCAACTAGAGATGAGAAAGCATTGCATCATTGTTATGGCGCAATAAAAGACATGTGCTGTGCTATAGCTCGAGCACCCCTGGGGAACTGAGACCACGCGATGGGACAGCCGCCCCCTGCATACAAACAGAAAGTTAAAACAACAAAACCCAGCAAGAAATCTGTGCGCACTTGGACTACTGCTGCAATTGAGGAGCTCAGAGACTGTTTGGACTGAACAGACTGGGATGTATTTAACAGTGCTTGTGGCAACATTAGTGATCTTACAGACACTGTAACATCATAGGCTGAAGTAGTTCAGGCAGGTAGCTGCGTCAGCATGCATAGGCTGCAAAGGAACAAGAAATAGGTTTATTCCATGCTGAAAAGAGAAGAGAGAGAACACAACGTTTCGGGTGAAGAAGGCTCCACAGCTGAAATGTTGTGTTTTCTTTCTTCTCTTTTTCAGCCTGGAATAAACCTATTATTTGTTCCCCTTTAACATCATATATTAGATTCTTTGAAGAGGTTTGTATTCCCACAGACATTATTGCTCAATACAACAATGCAAAACCATGGTTCACAAAGACCTTCGAAAAGCACAGCAAGCAGCTCACAAAAGTGGTGACAGGGACCACTGCAAACAGGCCAGGAGCCAGCTCGATTCTGCAATAAGATCTGCTAAAAGGAATTACAAGCACAAACTGGAACAACAATTTGTTAACAAAGACTGTCTGTCTGTCTGGAAAGGTCTCCAAAGTGTTACCAATTACAAAAGGATATCCCCTCAGATTGATCAGTTTCTACCAGATAACACATTTTACAGTAGATCTGAAACACAAAGTCTCTCCAACGATTGTGTCCATGGCCGTCTCATGGCTCGTCCAGATATTTCACGTCCTCGAGAAGAGCTATTGTCCCCCACTGAACTGCAGTGCCACACCCACTCACACTCAGTCTCTCAGGAAGACTTGACACTGTTCACAAGTCTTGAGAAGGCCCTTTTAATCAAAGAACAGGATGTGTTTTGAAGGCTATTCATAAAGCAAAACGGGAAAAGGGCAGCAGGACCTTTGTATGTGACTTTGTATCTCCAGCCACACTAGAACACTGTGCTGGCCAACTTGCTCCCATCTTTACTGATCTTTTCAGTCAATCATTGTCCCTGTGCACAGTGCCAGACTGCTTCAAATCTTCTGTCATTGTTCCTGTTCCAACAAAGGACAAGATAGCCTGCCTTAATGACTATAGACCCGTCGCACTAACGTCGGTGATAATGAAAACATTTGAACGTCTGATTCTCAACTACCTGAAGACTTACTGCTCCCCACCTTGATCCCCTGCAGTTTGCATACAAGGCCAGTAGGTCAGTGGACGACGCTGTGGATATAGGCCTGCACTTTGTCCTGCAACATCTGGACCTTAGAGGCATGTACGCTAGAATCCTGTTTGTGGCTTTCAGCTCAGCATTTAACACAATTCCTGATTTACTACTGAGCAACCTGTCAGATATGAATGTTAATCAGTCCATTTGCAAAATGGATTCTTAGTTTCCGGACTCATCAGAAGCAGTATGTCCGAGTGGGCCCCGATCTTTCAGCCTGCCGAGCTGTCAGCACAGGCGCACCCCAAGGTTGTGTGCTCTCTCCTCTGCTCCATTCCTTGTACACCAATGACTGCACTCCTGCTGACTCCTCGGTTAGATGACTCAAGTTTGCAGACGATCCCACTCTTACAGGCCTTATCACAAAGCATCCCCCGGCACCCTCCCCCCTGGTAATCAAGGACACTGCTGTCAGTGTGGTGGAATCAGGCACATTCCTGGACATCCTCATCTCAAACACTCTCCGCTGGGGTGACAACATCGCTTCCATTATAAAGAGAGCACAGCAGCGCATGTACTTTTTTTGAGACACCTCAAGAAGCCTGGCGTTGCACAACCTATTCTCACACAGTTCTACAGAGACATTATTGAGAGTGTGATTACTGCTCCTCTCATCGCCTGGTTTGGCTCCGCTACTGTGCACAGTCTGAAAACCGATTGCAGCGCGTTATCAGGTGTGCTGAGAAAGTGACTGGCTGCAACCTTCCATCCCTCGCCGTGCTGTACAAATCTACAGCGCTGAATCGGGCCACCAAGATTGCTGCAGATCCCTCCCACCCTGGTCATCGTTTATTTCAAAAGCTTCCCTCCGGAAATCAAAACCAACAGATACCTGGACAGTTTCACAACACAGCAGAATGACAGTGTTTCACAACACAGCAGAATGGCAGTGTTTCATAACACAGCACAGCGCCAGTGTAGCACAGCGCGGTGACAGTGTAACACAACACAGCAG